AATAATCACCCCATGTCATCGCGTCCAACGCGAAATCATCACCCAAAGCATGACCACTCTCTTCCCACCAATCCCTCGCTCTGTCCTTCAGAAGATAGGAAGCGAGTCTGACCTTGTCCCCCCCCCCCCCCCGGGACACCGGCTCGTACGGAATGCGTTGGCAACATCAGCCAACCATCAGTTGTTAGCGATGGGGTCCCTAGCCCCATGATAATCTGGTGCCCCGCAAGCCCTAAACTCTCAAAATGTCAAAGTACGCGCTCCCATCAAAGCCATCATCTCGGTACGGAAGGCTCCTAGCCTCACATCCAAAATCTCCAATATACCCTCCTTGACCGTGCCAAAGATCACAAGAGTCTGGTCTAGTATGCTACGCGTAACCTAAGCTGATATCAACTCCCTCATTCTCTCCTCAAGTTGCTCGGCTCCTGAACCCGAGCATGATCCCTCTCCGGCACCTGATCCTCCCACTGGTCTCTCTCGCAACGTCACTATGTTAAAAATATAACACAACCACTATCAGGATACTTATCACCGCTGCAAGACCAAACACATGCACTACCAGGTTCCCGGTCTTGTCTCGACCTTTCCCGAATCGAGTACGGATCCTCTGCTTTCAGTAGTATGGGTCCATACTACCTTCTACATCTATCCGTACTTTCCTCAAGAACTGCTTCGACTCCACGAGGTCCCTTTTCTACTACTATCGCTCCCAGCACTACCTCATCTTAGGCTTGCCCTAGGGAAACATCTGACTCAAACCAAACCAGTCCTCAGTTGCTGAAGGACTCCTTATGATGCCAATTAGCCATTACCTGGATACCATCACATGTGATGAGGCTCAGATAATCCTTCGAGTAAAAGACTCGTCCCTACAACGGTTGGACTCAAACAAGAGCTGCGCAATAGGGCCAAATCCAGCACTCTAAGATTATTCAACCCTGATCACATGTGACGTGACGTATCCACCTAATGACTAACTCCCATCACTCGGAATCCCGCAATGCACAAAGCAAGCAACATTCAGACAAGGGGAAAAATCTAACCATACATACTCAAGCAATCATAATATCATACCAAGAATCTGTACTAGCATGCAACACAAACTCATAATCTCAGGCATAACCTAAACAGGCTATCCTACTACTATCTAATCAGCACTATTATGCAGCTCAGAGCACATATAACAGGCGCATAAGGCATCCTCCCTAGATCCTTAGTCCTAATCTAGCATGTTGTTCTATTAACCAATATTCATAACATAAACTTGTATGGGTATTTTGGGGCACTTAATTGAGCTCGGCTGATTGCATGCACCACACCCTTTTCTCTTATCAAAATTCTTTTCTTTCTGAATTCTTTTTGCTTTCCTAAAACTGTTTTCGTTCTTAAAGCATTCTTTTTTTTTTTTTTTTTACAATCTGTCTTTTCATTTTGAAAACCTTTATACCAATTCCTCAGTTTGAGTTCAGATACACCCGAGAGCATGTCCGAATCCCTCAAACCAAGGCTCTGATACCAACTTGTAACGACCCAAAATTTAAGACTAAAAATTTCTTTTATAAAACATTACTTAAATATAATTATCAATCCATATCATAACCAGAGTATTAATTTCCAAATCACATGTTCATTATCAGAGTCAAACATTCCCAGGCTGTCTAATCTACGGTGTGTGCCATGCGATCACCCCGAGCTCTTCCCTCCGCTACCGAAAGTACCTGAAACCAAAACTGAAACCGTTGCACGAAGCTTAGTGAGTTCCCTCACCCTACCACATACCATGCATAACTACATACTGCACATACTGGGCCACGCCCGCTATTTTGGGCCTCACCCGTTACAACAGCCCCGCCGCTCCAAGCCCCACCTGGCTTCGAACCCCGCTCGGATACAGATCTGTTTAACTTAGGCCTCTCCTTTCACTGGGCCCCTCCCGCTAACATATAATAGCACATAAGCATATAACAACACATAAGCTAATATATACTCACAAATCCTGTCCTGAGGCCTCGCCTATCTTGGGCCTCGCCCTTGTCCTGCTACCGATGACTCATGGAACCCCATCCACGCCCTTACTGATAGTGAGATACGGGCCCAACCCACACTCACGCTTTCCCTAACTTGGGCCTCGCCCCTGTTCTGCTGCTAATGAGATGTGGAACACCATCCACACTCTGCTATTGGTGAGATACGGGACCTCGCCCACACTCACCTCCCTACCAGGCACATACATGTATCACACAGATAACAAGTATAAACTATCATATAAACCATTCCTTGGGCACCCGCCCGCTATCATTGGACCTCGTCCTGAATATCGTACTAGCATATTGTGCCTAGGGATAACCCCCGAGTCTTCCTACTCGTATCTACATGGGCAGGCGTTGTGGCCTTAGACCCATTCACACAATGGGAAACTCACCTTGCAATCTGCTGACTGAAAAGATAAGCTTACGCTGCTCCAACCTCTGTCACAAACTCCACCCCTGATAATAACAAAATACTGAACCCAATAAATACCAATAATTACCAAAATTCCCTTGGAAGTCAATTGGTCAACTCTTGGTCAAAGTCAAAGTCCTCGGACAAGGTCAAACTTCTTGACTGACCCTACTCGCCGAGTCAGCCCGCTGACTCGCTGAGTACCTCAACTCTAAAAATCCCATCTCAACTCACTGAGTCGTCCTTTGACTCACCGATTCTCAGCTTAACCAGAAAAGGCTAGGACGTCATGACTAGACTCGCCGAGTCCAACAACAGATTTGTCGAGTCCAAGGCTATCTTCAACCAACTCGTCGAGTTCCTGCCCAACTTCATCCAACTCGCCGAGTCCACCCATGTGACTCGCCGAGTTGTACCAGTTCTTAATCCATACAGTAGCTTTTCGAGCCATGCAGAGGATCCAACTTATAGATCCATACTCCCAAAGCTCAATCCTCACGTAAAGTTGCAAACTTTACGTATAACTAAAGAGATCAAGGCTCAAAACACTCTAGGGCTAGGTTTAGGGACAAAAGGGCTTCACCAACTACTCATCTTCTGATGCTTTATGACATATTGGACCATCCCAACACTAAATCTGAAGTGGCAACGACATATCTAGGCCCCAACCTCGAATTGGGTCTCAAACAACCATAAAACCCTCAAATCTCATAACAAAAGTATATCTAGATGCAAAGGAGGGAAGATAGCAGTTTATTACCTCCAAGATGAACACAAACTGAAGTAGATCCCGGATCTTTACCTCCCCTTTGAAGCAACCTTCTTGATCTTCAAGTTCCTTTCCAAAGTTTCCTTCCTCCAAAGTTATTTCTCTCAAATGATGGAAGCTCACACGAAATCTAGGGTTTACAGGTTCTCTAGGATGATAAGGAGGTTGGGGGAGGGACATAACACCCATTATATAGGATACAACTCCCGAGATTAGGGTTTTCCTCGTTCAAACCAGACTCGCCGAGTCCCCTTAGCCGACTCGCCGAGTCGGTCACTAACTCCTGAACCTGGATCCCGCTCGGACTCACCGAGTTTCGCACTGGACTCAGCGAGTTGACCCTTTGACTTAGGGTTTTCTTTCCTTCTTGGCCTACCTGATTTTGGGGTGTTACATGGGCGCCACTCAAATAAATAAGTGGTTTATTTTCTAAAGGGCCACGAAAAGGGTTCATAACTCATAACTATATTAACGCTCGGTGAGAACACAAGGATGTCATATGATCTGTGGGGTTAAACCAAAGATGTCATAAGGTTCTTGGTTTAAATCCATATAAACCAGTGAATCAATTTCTTTTTATTTGTCCAAATCAAATTATGGTTTGATCGTCGTATACCCAAGTGGCATCATCTGTTGAGTGAAAAGAAACAATCGAACTTGGTGGGTGGAAGGAAATTTGCAGGTTTTATAAGGCATTCCTTGCCTTTAACCTATAAAGGCTATAGTGGAGGTTGAGGGATAGGCCAAGACCGCAAGCTAGCCTAGTGGGACCATGGATGCGAGACAAAATGTTCATGAAATGGAATGATTTAGGTACCCTTCTCACTTTGCACACCACATTGTTGCTAGGACCAGATAAACTTTTACTTTTAGCAAGGTTGCGTTTCGATCTTGTTGGACTAACCTACTTAGCGTTGGCTATAAATTCCCTTTTGAAAGACTGAAAAAATAAGTTGCTTGAGGGTAAGGTGTCGCAACTAGGATTTGACCTAGCAAAATGATGTGACACATGGCAAGCTCAAAGGGCTATTGTCGTCAAAGTTCCACAGTTTTTTGGTATAAACACAACTATCCTGGATCCATATTCAACACCAGAATTGCCCCCCTCCTTATGCGACTTTGCATTTTTCTAGTTTTCAAGCATTCATTTTGTGTTTATGGCTCTTGTTGAAAGAACAAAGAATTATAGAGTATTTACTCTGAAGCTTACAACTCTAGATCGGCATAAAACCTTTGTTGCTATACGTTCTCTCATTCAGTTACCGGTCATGATATTCGTTGTATTCAGGTTGGTTTTATTTTTTGTCTCGTCATTTGATTCATTCGTGATTAAGTTCGAGACAAAACTTGGTAATTTAATAACAATAATCTAATGTATTACTTGCAATGATTTGACATTTAATTCTTAAATTTATTTGTAGGTTTGTTTGCTTTTATCTTACTAACGATTCGATATTAGTTCGTAATAATAATCATGACAATTCTTAAGTTTATTTGATATTAATCCACATTACTAATCATCAAATTGTTTGTTTATCATGTCTACTAATTATGTTTATTTTTAACAATTTTATTTGTACGAGATTTTTAACACAAGAAAAACAACACACCACACCTAAAAACAATAAATACAACAAGATGAGAAAGAAGCTCATTTTTACAAGTACATGAAGAGTCTTCTAGAGCAAAGAAAAATGTACTTATTCAGAAATTTACACAAGGGGCTTTGAATTAAAAATTTTGGTTTTTTGATTATTTTTCTTTGAACAGTAAAAAGAAAAACTTTTTTTTTTAAATTATTTAATTAGAAAGAAAATAATGGAGGTAGCAAGAATGTTTCCTTCACGGGTCTGGAATTTGCCATTGGGGCATTCAAAGTATAATCGTTACATCAGATCCGAAGCACAATCAAAGTTAGCAACACACTCCACCCCACTTTCCACGTGCCTTCGCTTATTTTCCATTTTTTTTTTTAACATAAAACTTTATATTATAATTTAATTAACTCACTAGATTCACGTAAAATACACCTTTAAAACCCCTTGCTTTATATCGATACAGATATAAAGCCTCGATAAAGATGCATGAACATGTAATCGAAAGAATCTCAAAAGCTTAAATGCCAAAAATGGAAAAGCAATGAATGTAGGCAGAATAACTCAAATAACTGCACATGACACCAAAGGAACACGAGATGAAATGATCAAAAAACACAAAAGGCTTGATGCAAAAGACCCTTCACAAAAAAGGGAACTTTTATAACCATCATCATGTTGTACAAGATTCTTTCATGTGAAAACGATGATCACAAATTATTTATAAAAAGAAAAATAAGGAGAAATTTTTTTAGGGGTGAAAGATTTTTACTGTAGGAAAAGATTTATACCCGGATTTGTGGCAGGCTGCAAGGATTTGTATGTTGTCCCAAATATACCCCACAAAATTACAGTCGGCGAGGAGAGAGAATGTAGAATCGTTTGATAGTTATGTTGCAGAGGAAGAAGCTTCTAACGATGGAGAGATGAGAGAAGAGTGGTTAGCATACGAGATAAAGCCTAAATTGTTGTGATAACAGTTAACAAACCCCAAAAGGGAAAATAGTTACAGAAATTAGAATTCGAAATTAGTAGAAGAAGGGAATAATCAAGAACTAGATGATATGTCTTTCAATTTGACAGGTCATGGATCCATCGATTATGGCTTTAATCGAACCCATTGGTACCTTCCTTCCATTGGAACATCTTTCACGATATCATAGTTGTACCTGATGAACAGTAAAAACGAAAATTAGTTGGAAATGATGATTGTACTCCAAATTCTACAATGTGGAGGAATAGTGGAGGTTCACGTTAACAGTGGTGTATGTGTATCATGAACAATTCGCCATAGCTACTTACTTTTCTGTGAAACGTTTCTGTTCGTACTTTTCCGCTTCCGAGAAAAATTCTTCAAGCTCAGCCGGAGAAGGAGACTTTTCCAGTGGTGGTTTATGACCGGAAGTAGCTTCGTTTGCTGTTGAGGTCTTCTTCTTCTTTGGAGTAGAGGTGGATAACGACTCCATTTCTTCTGATTCTAATGAAACCACGCTCGATGCAGATGTCTCTCTACTGTAAATTAACAAACATAACGCAAAAATTTAGTGGTGTGGAGTTTTAATTCTACAAATAGATAAATCCGAACTGATAAAAATTGTTGAAACAGAATCATAATTGAGATTGATTAATTAATTTGACCTGAAACCGTCGTTACTGGACATGAAGATTTCGGTTTCGGAAAGACATTCCACCTGTAAATGAACATTCAATAGAATTAATTACGATCCAGAACATGTATCGTACACGAATTCATTATCCAGCTTCTCTAGAGAAAACAAAAGATGTAGTTGAATTTTGAATTTCATACCTTCAGATCTGGTCTCGAATCATCATTGATAGAGCAGATAAACGACGAAACATGATCAGAAACACCAGACACCGCCGTCAAAACAACATTCTCATGGAGATTGACGTCAATTTCACGTCGAGACTGATACTGAAGCAGAAACACATTCTCCTGAGCTTGAGAATCCAATCTTCTTCTCTTACCGGTGCCAGAGCTCGTAACATCTGTATCTCTACTCCGCCGTGCGTCTCCATGGGAATTTGAAACCTCCATTGCTGAAACCTCTTCAGTGCTTTCACATCCGCTTATGCACGTTTCCTCAATCATAATTCACACATACAAATTGTGTATATTCAAACAGAAAAAACGAACATCACTTCTCTCTTTAAAGCTGAAGAGACAAAGTGACAAGACTGGAGTGGAATAAAGGTAAGGTTGGACATGATCGGACGGTGCGAAATTTAATTAGTCGGTTGTTTTCTAATATAAAAGTTATTGTATAAAACAGAAGTTGTTATATTGAAAATATACTTTTTATATTTCTAATAATAAAGTTATTGTCGTTAATATAATTTTCGATCATAATGTTCAAAAAAGAATATTATCTTGATTGTGTAGGTTTAAGTGTTTATAATGGTTATGGGGAAGGTGTGCAATGAATGAAATTTTCAGGTGAGATGCAATGAATTGGTACAATCACAGTTAAAGTTAGATACAATTTGATTGAGGCAACCAACATATTAAACAATGATATTAATGAAATAAATATCCTAACTTTGTGAGAGTTGATCATTCAGTAATCGCATTCACAAGAAGGTTAAAGGCGTTTACAGAGTATATATATATATATATATATATATATATATATATATATATATATATATATATATATATATATATATATATATATATATATATATATATATATATATATATATATATATATATATGGAAAAAGTGAATATACCCTTAAGGGTATATAAGCTTAGGTACCCAAACTCACCATAATACGTCATTTTAACTTGATTTACTTTCAAAAATTTCAAAATTTCATTATTATCTTCCTCTTACATCACATCTTTTTGACGAACATCAATTAGGCTATCTATATATTATAGTTGAAAATGAAAATTATGTAAGAGGAAAATAAATATGAAATTTATAAAAATCTTTGAATGAAATCAAGTTAGAAGTTGAATTATAAGAACATTAGACAATTACAATGTATATATATGATAGAAAACGACGTAGTATGGTGAGTTTGGGGACCTAAGCTTATATACCCTTAATGGTATATTCACTTATATATATATATATATATATATATATATATATATATATATATATATATATATATATATATATATATATATATATATATATATATATATATATTCTTAGGTTATTTTGTTTTTACTAACTATTGTGTGTTAGAATGCACAGATCTAAACCAATGGATGAAATTAATCAATAAATATGATTTGAGAGTGTATGATATTACAATGAGATAACATTTATCATATAATCACATAAGTTTTAGCAAAATGGTATTTTGGACTATAAACTACATTTATAAAAGGAAATTTTTGGATTTTTAGGGATAATTAATTCTTCTAATTTAAAAAATATGAATTTTGTTAATTAATTCAATTTTAATTCTAACGTAATTTATAAATATAACCAACTTTATTCTGTCGGAATATTTTTTTTGTTAGAATGATATTCTTTCAAAATTTTATTCTATTAGAATATTATTAAAGAATAAGAAAATTCTTGAATCTAAGGTTGAAAATAACAACATTCTAATATATTCTTATATATCCGAACTTAAATACAAATTCATACATATTCTTACAGACTAAAAGCCTTATACATTTTAATATAATTATACATATTCTAAAAAAATATCAACAAAAACGAATAAAATTCTTAAAAAATAACAACATTCTAAAATTGTGAGTATGATCAAACTTTATTCATTCTTCAAGTTATTCATATTAAGTCTTCAACGTATTCTTCCAGTCTTTCCTATTACAAATACAACAAAAACTAATAATGGTTAAAAACATGTTACTTGCAATTAACTATCACTTTATATATTCTGGTAGAATACATTAAATATGACATAATACATAGAATACATTCTGGTATAATACATAGATTCTATTCTGGCAGAATACATTATTACAGGATACATAGATTCTAGGTATTTCAACAAACACTTGTTAGACATTATCATCAAACAAGCCAAAATTCATCCAAAAAAATAGAATAAGCAAAATAATAAATATATTCTAAAGGAATGAAAACGATTGAGTGAGAGACATTAAGAATAATTGAGAATGAAAAACAAATTTCATAAGAATTAACTTGTTCTTTATGTAAGAATATGAATATTACATAAAACATTTGTTCTTAATATCACCTTAAAATATTAATTAACTACGATTCAAAGCAAATCAATAACTTATGTAACAAGAATTGTTTGAATAGAATTATATTAAAAAAAAGTTGTTAAACGATCAATATAACATTTAATGTGTATTAACTACAATTCAAAGCATATGAATAACTTATATAACATGAATTGTTTGAATAGAATTACATTAAAAAAAGTTGGTAAACGATGAATATAACATTTAATGTGTTCATATGAAAGCTTTATCTTTCTTCTAATTCTATGTAGAGAGAAGGTGACAATGAAATGATCCTACATATCTTTTTTTCTTATAATATTATATTGTATATTTCATCCATAATGACATGTCTAATTTTAGTCCTCTTAGGCACTGGAAAGTATCTTACATGTGGAGTTTTCAAATTATTTTTAATCACTACATGAACTCATTGGAGTTTTCAATTGATGTCAAAATTAAATTTTTGTTATTCGATATTTGTGAGACTAAACACATTTACTTTCAAATAGTTGCAAAGATTAATCCAACGGTTTCATCTTACCGATATCATGACATTCCCCCATATAGAATAATCACGTTTTATCATCTATGTTATGTGAATATCAATGGAGTATCACCACTCAACAAAACTTAACATCAATAAAAAAAAAATAGACGGCTTCATCAATTAGGGTTTTAAAAAAATAGGTTACAGACAATAGTTTTTAAGAAATACCTTTTATGAGTAGAAATTAAAATTTACCTTAGTGAGATTACCTGGATTTTCATTCTTCAATTCCTTATGCCACACTCTTCTACATATTGGTGATGGGAGGAGGAGTACAAAGGAATGGAAGAAATCAAAGGGTTTGATTGTTGTTCTTGGGAAAGAAGATCGTGGCGCCGATAGTAGTAGGGAATAAGGAGGGCAGAGGTGGTAACGTAGTCGTTTGATTTTTACGGCGATGGTGAAATAATGTGATGTCTCCTGTGAAGTAGGTGAATCAGAAACTATTTTTAGAGAAAGAGAGGGGATCGATGGTGGTATTATAGATTTGTGAAACTGATAACCTAAATTAATGGGATATTAATTGATTTTATTTTATATTTACCATAATTAATTATAATGTAAATTACTTCACAATATCTCCCACAACTATAACCGATTATGAAGTTTTAGAATAATAATATTATTCATGGATTAAACATGTTAATATAGAACACAACAAGCATTGATGTTATGATCATATCCTAGTATATTAAAACATTATATAATGGTTGTTGTTAAAATGGTCCAATATCCAAATACTAAACCCAAATCAAAATCCTATTTCTTGAATAATAAAGTATTATAGTTTAAGTGTGACCATTCATACTTAGCTCAGATGAAGGACTTTATTAATGGGTTCAACTAAGCTTAATTTGTGTGAATTTTGCAAATACTATCATCTCCATATTTTACTTTACTTTAGGTATAGTTAAATATGTTGGAGTATATGATTGGTGTTCTTTCGTGACATAGTGTCTCTTAGCTCGATTAAGTATACTCTCGAAGTCACTAAGATTTTCTATGTGATCCTTGAATGGCATAATTCAACATAGTTTTTCAATGAACTCATTCATCCAATCATATTAGATTTAAACTTATAAAGCAGTGTATTCTTATTTTGAAGTATATTGTGTCATTTTGTTTTGGTTGGACCTCATTCCAACAAAACCTACTCTGCATCCGACAATGATGTCATAATCCAATTATAATTCATAATTATATATATTTGTTTAGAAATTATAATCTTATGTAGCTCTTTACATAAATATTTCATTTCAACAAAACTTACCAAGAAAATCAAATATAAATCATTTTAGCTAGTTTAAACCTATGAGCTAGGTGATTTTGAGGCTAGCTCATAATTAGTGCCATGTGACAATGTTAAGGTTCCACCAAATGAATCTTCTATCTTGATCTCTTTCAAGATATTATCAAAATATGCATAAGCAAATAAAACATTTAACATTCATCTTATATATCTCTATAGATTTTACATTCCAAGAATGTATCTTGTCCTTCCTAAGTTTTTCATTTTAGAAATACATTATGAGTCAAGGCGAAAAGGCCTAACATTTTCAGAATGTAATTTCTTATAATTAAGTATGTCTCATTCATATAAGATTAGGAATGTAACTATGGTCCCACTACTTCTTAGTAAACACACATGTTCTATTCGTTTGGATATAAAAACATACCTTATAGTTGCATATTAAAATCATGATTGCAACATTGAGATGTTTGCTTTATATCCACAAGTGGATCTCAAGCTTTACACATTTTGTTAGGATAACATGGATTAAGAAAACCTCCAAGCTAATCTATATAGATACCTTTTAGTAGATATGTAGCACCTGGTTTCCAGTATGTGAATTTTATTTGAGTATTTCCCTATTTTAGCCTTGGACTCGGCGAGTCATAGGTCCGACTCGCCGAGTAGGGACGAGACTCAGGACACGTTTAAGTTGGCGACTCGGCGAGTCCATATCCCGAACTCGGCGAGTCACCGCTGCTGGATGAAACCCTAAATTTCAAGGGTTTGCACTCTATTTAAACCCTCATTCCGCCCCAAACTCGCCCCATTCACCCCCAGAACTCCCAACATCGTTTATACCCTTATTTCCTTGAGAGATTGAAGTGTTTTGGTGTGTTCTTGAAGATTTTGAGGAGAAAGAAGAGTAGATCAAGAAGAGGAGAAGGAGGCCAGGCATCTTTGTGTCATCTCAACGTTTTCCTTGAGGTATAGCTTGTTTCCCCTCTGTTTTCAAGCTTGTAATCTCTTTTAGCTTCATGGAAGTCCTTCTTGAGCTTTTCCCCAAGCTTGTTTGTGCTTTGTGGGTTGTAATAAGTTGTTAGCCTTTAGATCTAGGCATGATTTAGTCCCTGGAGCTTGGATCTAATGCATTTATGGGGTCATATTGCATGAAAGCCCTAGATCTACCTCTTTTGGTGCACTTTGAGCCCTAAAATTCATATTGGTGAATATCTACACGTAAAGTTAGAAACTTTACGTGTGATTTGTGTCCTAGAAGCCCAGATCTGTGAATGACATGGACTGGAATCGAGCAAATCAGTGTATTTGATGGATGCATGGCTGCGACTTGGCGAGTCGTATATGTGACTCGACGAGTCTGGTCGCGAGTCACTGAATTGGTCCCTTTATGATGTATCGAGTTGAGCCGTGAGTCACAGGGGGTGACTCGGTGAGTTGGAAGCTGAACTCACCCATGATAGGACTCGGC